AGTCCCAGGAGATGCGGGCGTGCCGCGGCGGCCGGGGACTGAGCTGGGCGGGAGGTCAGGCCCAACTGGACTTGTCCTTGCTCCCCTGCACTCCGATCGGGGTTCGGGGCCTCGGGCCGGGAGCTCCCGAGCCCTTTAGGGTCGTGCTTCCCGGCACCCGGGTCCTTTCATCCCTGCCCCGGCTCTCTCTGTCCCATCCCACTACCCCGAGTCCTAGGGATGCCTGCGCTACCTCGGACGCCCCTTTGCCTTGGCTGGCCTTTGGGGTGCGCCCCTGGGTGCGCGTGCCGGGGCGGCGGCCGGGGAATGACGGCGTGTCCGAGGCAGCGGGCGGCAAGATGCGCCACACAGGGCAGGACGCGATCGGGGTCCACGCCAGGGCGCGGGGTCACCTGGCGAGTCTTCGGGCGCCGGGACCGAGCTGGCTTTTTCGCTTATAAAACCGCAGCCCTGGAGGCCTGGGGGGCGCGGCCCGCTGCGCATCGCGGAGCGCAACAGGCAGGTAGGAGTTTACTTTCAAAAGCGCCGGGGCGGAGCAGAGGCGTGCAGCCAGTCCCAGCCGGAGGAGGAGTCCCTGTCCGGGGCAACCTCGCCGCGCCCGGGCAGCACCGGCAGGACCTCATTTCATCCCGCAGCCATTGAACTGCCCCCCAAGCAACGCGCCCAGGGAAGTGTCAAGCTTTATAAAAATTTAAAAGCGTCGGTGGTGGAAGCAGGAGTGGGGCGGAGCCGCAGTTTGACGGCTCCGTGATGAGCAGGGGAGACTTGGAGCTGGGCAATCTCAGTTTTCACCTCTCCAAACCGGGTATGATGCCCACACCGGGAAGGTGAGCGCCTTCTGAAGCTCATGGGGAGGTGTCAGGGCTATTTATCTTGTTGACTGTGTGGTTGCGCGTGCGTTTTGTTAAAACCCCTTTGAGAGGGACTATGGTCAGGATGCATGCATTCTTATAGGCTAATTCCAAAAGCTAGCAAACTGTGAAGAGTGGCATTTTCACTGACATGTTTATACATTTTTACAGGGTTTGCTGAAAAATATTATAAATTGCGTCACCAATCAACAATGCTAATTAGCCTTCTCCTTCCAGTGGGTGTGTTGATTACACAGCTCCTAGGCTCTGTAAGTGAGATGGCAGAAACTGTCTGAACCCAGGGAGGCATAATTAGCCATTTTATGTAACCACTAATTAGAGTTTTTAGAATTGAATTAAATCAGTGTGATATAGTTGGGGCTTTGATGTGTGGGAGGAAACTGTTTTATTCTACATTTCAAAGAAATATCCAGGAGCATTTAGCATTTCCAAAGGTTGGTGACTCCCAGTATGATTAGCCAAAACACCCAGTGTGAAATTTTCAGGGTTTTGGTGCTGACTGTGTGACTTGGTGGCAACTTAATTTGTAAGTAAAATGTTAGGATTGTGAGAGTGTCCTATTTTTGAGACTGCTTGCCAAGTCTCCTTTTTATTGCCTTATTTATTGAGCAACAGGACAAAAACCATACAGGAAATTGAAGTTTCCTTACCAAGCAACAATTCCGTGACAGCCTCTGTTGAAGAATTAATGTGTTGAGTGTGGCGAATACTCTTTTGTTTATCCCTCTGATGTATTACCTAAGACACACCCTGCTTGGCGCCTGCTGTAGTTTGGGTTGGATGGGTCCTGATCACACTGGTTAAAAATCGGAGGTCTCACCTGCGATGAGAGGCTGCTTGAGATGAATTTCCTTTCTCCTTAGTCCCATGTCTTCGTCGTCCCCCCCCCCCCACTGAGCCTACAAATAGGAGTTGAACTGCGGGATTCTTTGAGAGGTTATATGTGGTTTGGAACAATTCACTATTGTTGCCTTCTCCAAGCAAACAAACAATTCTGGTAATTGCTACATAGCTTTCAATTTTCCTTGGCTCTCTGAAATCAGTCTCCTGAAGTTCAAGCCCCAACTGGGGGCACTTGCTTGTGTATGTGAGAGAGACCTTGTTTGCTGAACTGCACCATAACGTTCTATATTGTCCCCCTTAAAGACTTGTTCTGAGGATTGAGGTATTTCGTACAAGTGACTTCAGTCTTAACACACCGTAAGCACTTGGTGTCAGGCTGTAAGTGCCGTCATTTCTGTGGAGTGAGCTGACTGTGCCCAGAGTCTCCGCTCTACACAGGCGTGATTGCTCTGAGGCTTTCCATAAGGAGGATGAGATTCAGTGGCTATGGCAGGACTCTGTTTCTGATAGCTGTCTAGGTCCTTCTGCAGTCAGAAGAAAAGCTGCCCACATCTTTGCTGCGCGATTTCCAACCCCATCCCACCCGGACTCCAACCCCACGTAGAGCACTGGACCTGGCACCATGGAATATACAGTATGCATCAGATCTGTTTCTGAAGCTTCACAATCTACTAGGGTTTGCTTGAAAAGAAATATCCATCATAGATACAGTAACTATTCACAGCTCTTCAGCAATCTCTGTCCGGCTGCCAGGGATGTTTCAGAGGTCATTACTGACTCAACCAAGAGCAGTTAGCCTGGGATCTGCCAAGCCAGGTAAAATGAGGCTGGCATTTTCCCCCTGGTGGACAGTGGCCCATAGCCATACGCTTTGAAGAGTTCTGTTGCTAGAAGAGCGTCACGGATTTGTCACAGGTGCCTGAGCCCTGCAGAGCCTCACGCCGCAGACTTAGATAAGGTTTTGGGATGGCCAGGTGCAAGTTCAGCAAAGTGTCTTCCAGGCTTTGTCACGTCCCTCTGCACCGTCCTTCTGAACCCGAGACCCTCCAAGGGAACCAACCCACATGTGCTGTTCTCTGGACCCGATGTGCCGTGGCTGCCTACCTTCCCAAGCAGAGCCCCTTTCATTAATGGCTCCGGGTAGGGCTGCTGATGTTTTTATAACTTCCTTTTCATAAAGATTAGCTTACATTTACCACTGCCATTATCGTAACCTGTTATTTCCCTTATACGATTTTTTTTTTTCCCTGAGCACCGTCTTTCTTTCAAGTAGGAGTCATGTGTTTTATAGATGTCAATGTGACTGTAGGGGAAGATTCTCCTCGAGGTCACTGACTTTCACCTTATTTTAGTCCAGGGTGGTAGGGAAAGCAACTTGCACACTGTAAGATGCTGTCTCCGAAATGTTCCCCAGGCCCTGTGGTTTGGTGTGCTCCGGCCCAGACTGGAGCAGGATGCTCTTGGATAGTAGCTCAAACAATTATGCTGGTCGTCCCTGAGCACATCTGGACTATATGTTCTGGTGCTGAGTAAGCTGCCCTGTGCACCAGCAGGGTGGCTACCTTCTGGATAGTCCCCAAATCTCCATTTTATCTACTCTCTGCACGCTTTCTTCTGTGGTGAAGGCGTGCCTCCATGTCCCGAGAGAGACACATCTCAGGACATTTTCATTCTTCCAGTCAGCAAATATGTATTAGGTGCCTCTTGTGTGCCAGCAGCTGGGGAGATGGGAAGGAACATGGTCCATGCACCGTAGGAGCCTCTTCAGGAACCTGACGTTCAGTAGTCACACAAGTGAATGTGTGACTTGGAGGGGCTGGAGGGAGAGGGCAGGTGCTGGGCTGGCCAGGTGTGGACTGGAGGGTCAGCAGGGCCTCTCCAAAGCGTGTTTAAGCTGAGAGGAATTAGCAAAATGTTGCATTTGAAAACAATGAGCCCCATCAGATAAACTGGGCTCTGCTAAGGTCCTGAGGCTGGAAAGAACCGGACCCCCCGAGGAATTGGAACAGCTGGCAAGACTGTTGATCAAATGAAGGATTCTGTGTTTTAAAGTTCAGGGAACACCATGGGAGGACTTGAAGCGGAGGGGGTGAGGTCAGCTTGGCTGCTACCTGCCTGGACCAAACACAATACAGGTCCTGTCAGCAGCAGTATGATAGACAGTTGCAGGTTTGAGGATTTCCCGTGTACATCCCTACCTGCCTCGATCCAGTCTGGCCATAGCAACCACTCATTAGCTTGCTACCCAGGGAAATTGATTTCTTTTCCTTACTTTATTGTCTTTGCTGATAATGGTGTCCCTTCTGGCCTTGTCGCGTGTTTTGCTAATTCCTTGTATGTACATCCTGACAGAGATAAGCATCAGGATGTGTGTCTTTATTACCTCAAGTGGGAGCCCCTACCTGAGGTCAAGCCCTTTTCTGGAAGGAGTTCACTCTGCCTTTTATTAGTTTACTTCCTGACTGCTTAGTATATCTTAGATGAGGCAAGAGTTGGTAACCATGGTGAAGGCAGAGCCTTAGGAGGGCCAGGCTGTGTGTGGGCTGGGTCAAGTGAGGAAACCTGGAGATGTTCTCTAGGTTAGCTCTCTGCTGCCGGGAGCTGGGAGAGCATGGGAAGGACCTGAGGACAAGCAGAGCTTGGTGGTGGTGGGATGCATGGATGAAAGGCAGAGCCTGTTGAAAACAGCATGGACTGGCTGGGATGGGAGGTAGCATCACTAGCAGAGGCGGAAGGACTAAGCCAGGACATAAGAGCGCAGCCAGGGACAGGAGCTGAGTCAGTGGGAAGGGACTATTTGGCTTTATTTTTCAGAAAGTGTTCAGAATACTTGGGGGAGGGGGAGGACCCTTGCTCCTGACTCTGAGGAGTTTA